AAGAAGATATCGAGCCTCGAGCCGTTTGCGCCCACTTTGTACTTCGACCGCCGTCGATGCGGGATCGGGGGTGAATCAGGAGGTCGGGAAAAGGACGCGGAGGTGGAAAGGGGAGCTTTGCTAGGCACGAGACAGAAGGGGGGTGGGCCTCGGCTACGCTGCCACGGGATTTCGCGAGCAATTACGTGATTAAGACGCCTCCGGCTGCGCTTGGGGTCTACTAAGTACGTACTTAGGTCTGATCCGTTACCGTACTAACTGGCTACGGCTGTCTCTCTCTCTCTCTTTCTCTCTTCTCTCCATGCCCTTTTCCCTCCTCTTCCTTTTGCTCTCTATTTCATCCCCTGCGCGATTCCTCTCTGAGCTTCTCTTTCTGCTCCGTCATCCCCCTTTACGCCATCACTATCTATTTCTCCTAGGATCCATTTCGCGTCCTATCGCTTACCCTTTCGTTCTTAGCCCGCTTTGTGTCTGTTTTATGTCCACTTCTGTGGATTTTAATATTGCTTATTAGAGTGGCGCGTAATTAACCGTGATTTCTTTTATCGCGACGGATTCCGACGGAATCACGATTTCTCTCGCCTGGTTCCCATCATTGTAGAACTTAAAAATGCTTTTATAATAAGAGTGAACTTGTCGTGTCGCGTCTATTATCAAGGAACTCGCTGTATTCGCTGTGATATTTAAATGTCTCGAAAGTTCGCGCGCGCGCGAATTCTGTTACACTTGCTAAATTTTACTTTGCTCCACTCTATCCTTATTCGTTGTCGTTACGCCCGCACTTCTGTTTCCATCCCTCTCGTCCTTTCCGACCTTTATAGTTGAACCTATACACTTCACGAGTTCCCTCGTCGTCTCGTGAAACGTTGGAAAGCGTGTTCCAGGGACTGGTGGCTGGCTGGCTGGCTGGCTGGCTGGCTTTGCCGACGACGTGAGTTTCAGTTTACCGGAAATTAACTAAATAATTCAAGAGGCGCAATCCCCTTCCCCCTGCCCCTGTGCTCTCTACACCCCTCATCAGAACAGTCCGTCCTTGTCTGTCTTGTGTCGCAGCCGGTCTGCGACCAACGACGAAACACCTCTCCGTGGAGAGACTCGTGCCGACGTAAATTAAAAAAGGCTGCTGTCCAGCCTTTTATCATCCGCTCTGTCGTGCCCGGCGCTGGGTTTATGGACTCGCGAGAGGAGTTTCGGCCGCGTTAGGTATTCATTAGAGACGATGGACAAGCGCGCGCGACTGTGTCCGGATAGGTGGTGGTAAAATAAAAAGGGTAATAATTGCTCTTGGCTAACGCGCGCGTGAACATATAAACATTTTACGGTGCTTTTAATTAATCCGGGAATCAGGATACTTTTCTCTTTTGCTTCTCTCTCTTTATCTCTTCCCTCCTCCTCTATCTCTCACAGAATCCACATTATTTATGCGTTATGAGTTCAACGAGAAAAGGAACAGACGAAAAACAAGTACAGAAACTGACACACAGGTAGTAATGTCCAATTATCGCAACGAAGTACCTGCCAATTCCGACTATACTTCGTGATACGTTTAGCAGGGAAGAAGTCTACATTGAATCTCTTTAGCTTAAGTCATCGCGAACTGTCGTGAATAAAAATCGCGCGACTACCTGAGCCCTCAATCGGTTGGCTTAATCCGTCTCCGATGATACCTTTGTCTGCTTGATCATTTCGCGGGAACTGTAAAATTGGAACGATCCCATCCGGGTGTACGGACGCTAGGGAGAAAGAGGAGAACCGATAATGATAAAGAGTGCCGAGTGTCAATGGACGAATTTCACTGCGCCCTCCCCTTTTCGCCGACGACTCGTCTGACGCGTCGAACTCTCGCGAGTGCCTAAGGGGTATATGACGCGTGGCATGGTGTGAACGAGGCCTCATTTGAATCCGAATGGAGACGATTTTCGCAGAAGAGGCTGTCAGTGAAATGGCAGTTCGCGAGGGGGCGGCAGATAGAGAGACAGAATGAGAGTGAGCCTCGGGGTGGTTCGGGAAGGTGGTTGGGTAGCGGCTGGAGTATCGAGGGAGGACGAGCGCGACGCTTCGCTCTGCTTTCTGGCGTAACGACGATGCTAGCAATATGTCAGCGACAGATATTCGTATTGGTATTCCGGAGAGCGCGAGCCATCGACCGGAAGCTCATGTATTTCCGTTTCCACGCGGCGTCGCGTCGCGTCGGGATTTCTTTTCTTCCCCGTTCGCGGAATTGGATTTCTTCGCCGTCTACCATCGACGTGATGCGTGTGTACATGTGTGTGTGTGTGTGTGAGCGCGTCAAAGAGTCTATGTACATGTGATTTAGCAAAGTATGAAGGAAGAGATCGCACGAGGATCATCGATCGCGATGAAAGGGTCGGCTGACGGGAAAAACGCGTGTATCACGGAGCAGACTGAAACACCTTTTTTTTCAGTTAATTTTGACAGAATATTCGGACATATCTCCGCAGACGTCTTGCACCGGTCTCCGGCACGTTTCGCGATAATTCGCCCTTCCTCTATCTTCATCAAAATACCAAGCGCCTTGCGTCGTTATTAAATCCCTGGCGAAAGACGCGGCTTCAAATCGTAAGAATTTTCCGCGAAGAAAAGGCAGAACAAAGCGCGCCGCTGAATAACGCTCTTTCCATTATTGGCGTCTTCGTCCTACTCTCTCTCTCTCTCTCTCTTCCCCCTGTTCCATCTTCGGGATTATTATCCTGCCGATTTCATAACATCCTTCGAGGCGATGCCGTCTCCTTCTTCCTGCTTACTGCCTCTTAGCACACCCGCCGCTTCCGGCGTATACTGCCTCTCGCACTCCATTAAAGTAATGAAGACACCGACGACGGCTCGCTCCGCGCGCCTCGTGACGCTTCGGGGTCCAAAGGGTTTCCTTCCGAGGAATTTATTCCGCGTCGGGGGGCCGTTAAACTCAAAACAAAACCCGAAGAGCGTTTTCCCCGGCCTCCTTCACCCCCGCATCTCTTCATTCTCCGTGCCTCGTGTCTTAACCTTATCCGCGATCCCCCCCTGCCGACCGGGCGTCGCGTTTCTCGTCTCGACGCGGAGGATTTTATCGTTCCGCCTGTTTTGCAACCCTGACATTAACTCGCGACGAGGAAAAACGGAGAGGGGAGGGAAGGTGTATTATTCTTAAACTGCGACGCCACTTTCCTACGGCCTCTTCATTGCCACCTAATTTGACGTTTGCCGACAACCGCAGTTTCGCGTTACACGGGAATATAACGCGACCCCCTCTTCTCCGCCACGGTCCCGTCCGTCTTAATTCACTTTACCCGCGCGATGATCGTGCTGGAAACTTAAGCGAACTGTACCGGCGCCGCTAATAGCGTTACAAATGGAAACATGTCCATCGGGGGAGTTTATATTTGATTATAGCCGCTCTCTGAAATTCACAACCGCGCGATATCCTGACGTGCTAGATTTCGCAATTATGATATTACCGACGCGCTCCTTCATTATTTCGATTAGACGCTTGCGAGGTCTCTCATCGATCCAATGATATCAATGAGTCTTTTCGAAAGTATTTCAATAAAGAATACGATTTTTCATTAGATCTCGCGCTCGACTTTAAGGAAAAATTCACATCTGACATTTCAATACTCGGACACGTGTCTAACTCTGGACGATCTTATTATTTTGGTCTTTAAATACGAATATTTAAGTGTATGTATATATATTTTATATATATATATATATATATATATATATATATATATTCAACATTGAATACATATATATATATTTTTTTTTTACATTGGAAGTTTAATTATTCGTATTCAAAAACCAAGTCAATAAGAGTTAAGTATGTATCCAGGCATTTATCTTACAATACATTTACTTTATAGCAATCTCACATAAATTGCAGTTGCTTTTTCCGCTCAATGTCGGCGTATGACACAGCGACAGCGCTGTTTTAATTGCACGTCAATTTCTGGTCACAGGAGAGATCGAAACAACCGAAATGAGAGATACTCGTGGGTTGCACATACACACATCGCTCGCCATATGTCGTACTGGTCGCGTGCTTTCACGAGAGTCCTTTCGTGGCGTAATTACGTGCTCAACAAATAATAAACGACTAATACTGTCGTCCTCGTTGCCACCCTTCCCCGTTTTCTCCTCCCTCTCTCTCTCTCTTTCTCTTTGTGTTCTCCCAATCCCTTTACTTCAAAAGCGCCCGGTCAGTCGCGACTTATCGACCTTTCGTTGTTGCTTTCTCAGTCGTCCTGTGAACACGAGTTTGATTGTCCTTTGATTGTCCGATCTTACGGTGCATTCACATACTCGCCGCTTTGTATTTGTCGTTTGTTGTCTCAGCGAACACGTGGTCGCGGGCAATACCGATTTGTTTCAATTTTAAGCGCACTTCAAAGGCAGTCGATAGACAAAGATCTATTAATACATGCCGGCAGATGAGGCGTGGGAAGCCGCTTTAGCGAGGTACTATTGAGAATCCGCGAAAGTCGAGATTGAAGATGGAAATAACGGTGAAAGAAGCATTATTAAATGATGTTAGCTGCACAAATTGGCGTTTGAGAATGCTATTTGTCCTATATATTTCGGCTCGGATATATATCTTTTTATATAAACGTCCATTCAAAGTGGAAATATTTATAGTATAACAGTGATGACAAATGTAACAATGATAAAATTTGCAAAATATTGTGTAATAAGTAATTTCAGATTTTTAGATTTTTTAATAATATCAAATTAAACGGTTATATTTTTATATATAATTTTGTAAAACAATGTATGCGAAGGAAATCATAGATCAAAACAGCGCATTATTTCGTCAAATTACAACAACATAAAAATGCAACCGTTTGATTTTACCTGAAAAATCCGATATTTCTTATTGCACAGCCTAATATTATTATATAATATAAAAAAATAATTATGCATATACAAATGTAACTTAACTTACTTGAAAATATGTAATACATCGCTATACGTGTTCTCATATGTTCCAGTCTTCAGCGATGTCCGATTCAATACCTTGAACCCTCATTACTCTGTTGGCACTTCGAGTATTCGCTCGTGGCACTGACGCACTGACACTGACACTCACGTAGATGCAATTCGATCGGGAAAACACGTGTTAAATTAATGCAATGGCGACAAGAATCCGATAAAATATTTCAAGAACCAACGGAAATTATAATTAACTTATCGACACACACGTGCTCCGCGTAACGGTATGTACGTCTCTCTAGTAGGCTCAGCAAAAAATAACACGATATCGGAGAAGTGTACTGGGCGCGCGATTGCGAGACAATGGATAGAGAGAGCTACGTCGTCCCGCGGCAGTGCCGGCCGCGAGATGACAGTTAACACTATCAACATACGCGCCGTACCTTCAGAGGTCAAATCTACCTTCGCGCGTCGCGCGCTTTTCCAAATGTTTCCACTACGCCTTGAGCCGTCGAGCAGCACGCGTATCACGTAGCACGTGTGGCTGTGTGTTTTTTATCATTCCCGTCGAGTGATCCAAGTATTTCATTGGCATTTGAAATATTTAATTGAGCTTCTCGTTGTCGCGTTAATTAATACATGTAGATCAAATTGTATCTGTGAGCGCGAGCGTCAGTGCAACGAGTGAGTATCTTGAACGACAGAGAACAGGATATCGAGTCGGGAAGCGAGGATGAAAGATGTAAGATGCCGGAGGAGGTGAGCAACGACGTAAGCAGTTGTGAGGCTATAATTATTTGCCTAGTGATAACAGAATAAAATTTTCATAAATAGCAGTTTCAATTTTGATTCGATTATCTTCTTATTCTCGTTAAATTCGTGAAACGCCCGTTCAAACCTCCGGAATTATCTCGTGTGATAAATAATTTGAGAGAGATATATTTGAGAATATTGATATGTTTCTCTCTCAAATTATTTATCATAATACGAGATAATTCCGGGCGTTTCACGAATTTAACGAGAATAAGAAGATAATCGAGTAAAAATTGAAACTGCTATTTATGAAAATTTTGTCTATTATCATTAGGCAAATAATTATAGTCTCACAACTGCTCACGTCGTTGAGAAAAAGTCGATTTCATTCTACATTGAGATAAAAAGTATCTAAGAAATAAAAAGAATATTTACGCGATGAACATTATAACATATTTACTTGTACTAATATATAAAGTATTTCTCAAATAAGAAAAATGCACTTTCTTAAAACTTTAGTTTCCTATAAAAGCAATTGTTTATTATATTTAAATAAAGAAATTTAGATTTAAACAAATAATTAGTACCAGAATAAATATTTTCTGTTTCTTGGATATTTTTCTCTTAATATGCGTGCGTTAATATGACACGAATATTCTATCCAAGTAAAGGAGTAAATTCTGTATGAATATAAAACTGACGTTTTACATTGCAATTTCAAGCCAAAGTTTGTCGTTGATTTTTAACATAGATTAACATTCACTTTGACAAAGATATAAAAACCTATACTTGTCGTACGTACGCGATTACGCTACTTGATCCTTACTTTATAGAAGGACGACTTCACATCCATCAGGAACGCGACGATTTTCCTTTCCCGTCGGTTTTTGTTTCAAATCGCTACAAGAGGACGTCTACAAGAGGAGCTATTGACGTTTTGTATTGATCCGTGTGTTTGATCCGTCGGCGCTCTTTTGCGCGAGGTATGTAAACAGTGAATGTAAACAGTGGTGGCATCCCGCGGGGCTATTTTGGGAGGCGCATACAGGATGGCATGCAGCGAACAGGTTCCGTTATTCCCACTCCGCTCAGATATAAACACAGCCACTCCGTTTACGTGGTCGTACCTCTCATTTTATGAAGAGGATATCGTGAATACAAAGAACCGGTACAACATCAGGTGGCATGCTCTTGGTCAGACGTCACGTCGAGTCGAAGCTTGATTCAATGACCCGAGTCGCAGCTTTAAACGGCTATTGCTTCTTAATGAGTAGATGTAGCGGCACGAGTTACAGGAATTTGACACGGTAATTTTCCTTTCACGACAATTAGTTCCAAGTTAGAGTTATTGACATTTGCATCGATCCGCATTCTCTATCGACTACGTACCTGTGAACAATACGTAATATAGACAATAACAATATAGACGCGCGTTCCAAAACGTTTTTTTTATAAGTAAAAGTAGTGACAAACACGTACTTCAACTTCAACTTCAATCTTTGGCTCCAGGCTTCTCTAAGAATTTTGTCCCAACGCCATTACTGACAAACACGTACGTAGATACGAATGCGCTAGTCGAAAATGTTTAGTATCTTTCAACTTGCGATCTATTTGATCTTTATAAACTTATCGATCTATTAATTTATCGACTTATCGAGTGTAGTACACGGACCCCCCCGAGTAGAGGGCATTGTTGTAGGAGCGCGGTGGTGCTCCTACAACGATGAATGCGCGAGTCGATGTTTTTGGGCCGGGCGACCATCATTGGAGGCATTGATAAACATCGCTTTGTGCTGTCAACACGTCCTATGCCTGTCAAAAGTGAGCCCTCGCGCCTAGAACGATGTCGAGAATGCCGAAATATCGATGTACGATCGTCGGGACGTACGGTGAGTACGTTATTTGGTAGTATTCTACTTGCTGTTTGATATATGCAGCTGGTACTTGTCGAGTCGAGTCTGTTGTTTTTATCGTCGACTCACTTAAGTAGTAATAGAATCGGGCGACCGCGGTATTTAGCAGCCGGGAATTAGAAATGCGATGATAGTCGGTAAAGTTGGTCTGTTAGCGAGACGGAGAGAGAAAGAGAGAGACGGGTATATCACAGAGCGCAACACCGTTCACGCCATCTTCCACGTATGTGATTAATTGCGCGGCCATTTTCGACCTTTTTACGCCAAGCAACAGCCATGAACACATCGATCGACTTTGCTCCGCGTTTCACGTATCTTTTATTTGTCTAAAGTAAGTCTCGCGCGGAAACAATTGTCGGGAATGTCGAAATAGGGATGTACGACCATCGGAACGTACGGTAAGTACGTTATTCGGCAGTAAGCTGCTCGTTTTTTATCGATATATGTACCCGATGCTTGTCGCGTCGCGTTATGTCGTGTTGAGTCCGCGTTTATAGTTTGTACCGTCGACTCGTTCAAATCGTAATAGAACCGGACGACTGTCGGATTTATTAACTGGGAATTAGACATGCGATGATAATCAGGGGGAAAAGGAGAGATAAAATGACGCTGGCGATACACGCGACGTCGATTCTCATGCAGTAACGTCTGTTGCGAGACGGAGAAAGAAAGAGAGAAATGGATATATCACAGAGTGCGACACCGTTCATGCCATTTTTGGCGTACGTGATCAATTACGCGGCCATTTTCGACCCTTTTGCGTCAAGCAACAGCTATGAATACATCGATCGACATCGTTCCGCGTTTTACGTATCTTTTATCTATGTCTTTTAAAGTAAGTCTTACGTAAAAATAAGCGTCGGGAGTGCAGAAAATAGCGATGTGCGATGTGCGAAACGTATCGTAAGTACTGCATTAGAGAGTGATCTTGTTTCTAATGACATACACAACCGGCGCTTGTCGCGTCGTGTCGAGTCCGCGTCTCTTACACTCATTTCTAGCATCGTCTCACTCAGTGATCGGACCGTGCAATCACCGGAATTATATTATCGAGAATCACAAATGCGGTGATAATCAGAGGGAAAGAGAAAGACAAAAGCGATATTCGCCGAATCGCGAGTGTTAGCATGCGTGAGAGAGAGACAGAAACATTTGGAAAAGCGCGTGAAAGTAGATTTAAACTTCTTGAAGGTCCGGGTTTTGATACTGTTGGTTGTTGTTATCTTGCGATCGGTAACGGTACATAGTCTTGCGTCCAGCGTAATTTTCAATTACTATTGCTATTTGTAATTTTAAATATTAGATATCTTATACTAGAACATTTGCAGGATTAATCATGTCGCTTCACGAGGACGTTCGTCGAGTTTAGGATTATAGTGAGCAGTGCAAGCATCCTACAGGTGATTATCGTATTTTAATTTTATTGCACATGAAAGAGAAATTTATTTTTCTTTCATTTAGATTATTCTCAAACATAACCATTATTTGAATCTTGTACTATTAATATTTTCATATTGACTTGTTGTCGACAAGCTTAAAATAGAGTAATTTCTCTATCATTGTGAATAATTAGGAAAATATTTTCTATTTTAGATCTGGTAGAGATTGCAACTACACCGGGGAAATTGCTGCAATCCTGCGGGATACTGGAGGATCACAGGGATACAATATTGAAGGTTCATATTTGAGCAGAGTTATCGGCAATGTGAGTCATTGCTGTACTGTCTTTTATCTAATGTGTGTTTTGTAGTCTTCATATCATTTCCGATTTCAATAATCGATAAATCTATAAAATAAAATATGATAAACACATTGTGTATAATACGTGGAAAATAATTAAATATTATAACATAATATCGATGGTAATAGCGCAGGTATACTGAGAGAAAAAACATCTAAAAAATAAGAAAAGATTTATTTGGTGAGTAATAACACACAGAAAAATACATACTGCATTCAAATAAATGTTTCTTATTTCAAGTATTTCACAAATTTGTAGATCCACAAATCTATCATAAGATAATCATAAGCACCAGATTTATTCAAAGTACATCCTAAATTTTAATAAGGTAGTATTTTAATTAAGAATATCAAATTAAAACAAAAATTTAATTTGCTTACTACATATAGTCAAATTAATTTTTTCTTCAATAATTTTATAATATTCTTATTAACAGAATATATTCTTCTTTTCAATATATGATAGTGAGCTTTTCTACAATTTGTAATGAATATATCCTAAGACAATTATCAACGAAATAATGTTGAAAGTACCATTACCTGAAAGAAAAGAAGTAAACTAAGTAATCGCTTTCCTTAGTAATAGTATGATACTTTTCTGTGTACATATTTATTTAAATCAAAATTTTCTTATCAAAATAGAATAAATAATTGTTTTTATGTTATAACATAAAACATAAAACATGATAGTGAATTTTTCTACAATTTGTAATGAATATATCCTAAGACAATTATCAATGAGATATTGAAAATAACCATTACCTGAAAGAAAAGAAGTAAACTAAGTAATCGCTTTTCTTAATGATAGTATGATACTTTTCTGTCTATATATTTATAGTGTACATTATACATATTTATAGTATATATGTTATGTTATAACATAAAAACAATTATTTATTCTATAATTCTATTTGATAAGAGAATTTTGATTTAAATAAAAATGTACACAGAAAAGTATCATACTATCACTAAGATAAGCAATTACTAAGTTTACTTCTTTTCTTTCAGGTAATGGTTACTTTCAACATTATTTCGTTGATAATTGTCTTAGGATATATTCATTACAAATTGTAGAACAGCTCATTATCATATATTGAAAAGAAGAAAATATTCTATTTACTAGAATATTGTAAAATTAAGAAAAAATTAGTTTGATTCTATGTAGTAAGCAAATAAAATTTTTGTTTTAATTTGATATTCTTAATTAAAATACTATCTTATTAAAATTTAGGATGTATTTTGAATAAATTTGTTGTTTATGATTATCTTATGATAGATTTGTGGATATACAAATTTGTGAAATACTTGAAATATATTGAATATATTTTTATAAATATATTTTACTATAATATATAATATTATTATCATTATATAGTACAATACATACACACACACACACACACACACACACACACACACACACACAATACTACATAGTACATACACAATTATATGTAGTACAATTGACTAAAAAATAATTGTCTTGACCATAATTTATAAATAGTCACTTCTCTATATGATTATATATAATTACAAATATCAAATATTTTTCTCTCAGTGTACGTTACAATTACAACCATAAACGGAAATGCCGCCGGGTTCGCGCGTCAGTTTCACTCTGGAGGCGCAGTGTGTTTGCAACAGCTCAACTTCGAAAATTTATACACCCTCCGCCGGAACGACACGCCACTCGCGCCGTAAATCAAACGCCGCGCGACAGCGTTTGAGGATAAATAGTAGAAACGTGTCTCCCGTGTAAGTTCCCGCTTACGCCGCCGCTCCGTCGTTCTTTAGAACGAGTGAGAAAGAGAGAAAGACAGGGCGCGACTTGCCATTAATTAAACTCTTTGTCGGGCGATCAGGAAGCGAGCTGGAGTCGCATCCAGCCCGATTCGTCGCGGGGGCGGCTCTCGGCTCGATAGATTTCGGCGCGATACATCTCTCGCGAGAAGAGAGGAGCGGAGAGGAGAGATTGCTGTGTGCCGGGGGTGGCATACGGTATACTCTCGCGGGCGTCGCGTCGAGCCGCGCTGTCGCGTTCCTCCTCTCGCTTTCTTTCTCTCACGAAGAGCCGGAGGGACGAGGCACTGGCAGCGGGGGAGGGTTCTAATTAATGGGTGGCACTGTGCTTGACATGTTTACTCTGGACGCAACCCCTTGAGTCTCTCGCACTCCTACCTTTCTATTCTTTTTCAGCGAGGGCGATACAGTCGTACACGGGTAACGTGTACTTCTCGCCCCCTCTCATTCCTTGCCACTTTCGTTCTTTTGCCTTCGTCTCGTCCTTCGCCCGTTCTTCTTCTTTCCCCCTTCTTCTTTATTGTTTTATTTCCGCGAGTTTAGTCAAAAGCGCCACGCAAATACGCGCTCGGCAAGCGACCAATTATGCCGTGCCGGAGTACACCGGCGAGAAACTTTAGAGTTCTGATTAAACAAGGCGCTCTTAATGGATGGTGCTTCCGGCGGCGGGAGCTGGAAACACGTCATGCGCCTAAGCGATCGGTGATAGCGGAAAGAAATTGAGCAAAAGAGGGTTCATGCTCGCTGTTTGCACGCTCGCTGCCTCTCCCCTTCTCCCCACGATACTTGTTAATATTAGCGGAACAATAGCGCCCACTCTTTATTTGGACATTTGGCAAAAGCATGTTGTAGAGCTCCGTATCTATATAAAACGATAATTCATGTATCGCATGTCGGGCACTTAATTAACGACAGCTAATGAAATTGGCCAGGGTTATTATAGATATTTGCTGTTGCATGAATCAATTTCTTTTTATTTTCTTTTTTTTTCTTTTATTGATGTGGGACGAGACGAAATTAATACGGGAGTGAAGCCGACACGATGCGTTCGTCCTGCAATCTGTGACGCAGCCGTGACTAACACGAACGCACAGGAGCGCGGCGCAGAATAATAATAATAATTATTATTATCGCCGAGGTAACGTGATTGCGCGCAACCGATATCGTGAAGCTCTAATGCCACTCTGATACACGGTCTGCATACACATTGACACGAATCGCACGCGGAGTTACGCACGAGGCGAGCGCAATTTTATCGCGTTTCAACGGCGTGTCTATTTTAGAGCGGCGATTAAATCGCAGCCGCTTAACAGCCGACGGCGCATCCTGCGCCTCGTACAACTGGCAGCGCGAGATGCGGGTATTACTCTAATCGCCGATAATGGAAAGAGATTAAAAGGAGCGCGACGCGGTAGACGCGAGTTTCGCGGCGTAGAAACTTTGCACGCGATGCATGTAGCGGCGGTGGGCACGGCGACGTCGTGTGTGCGTGTATATGTGTAACCGCGGCTATTCCTGGATCTTCAAGTTTATATTGACGAAAAATGCAATTTCGCGTTTGTCACGCTTCTGTCAGGTTGTTGAACCTTCGAGGGAAGGGATTGCGCGATATATCGCAGAGGAATTGTCTGGAAATTGAACAAAAAAAATTTTAAATGGAATTAGATTACATACTAGTTAAAACTGCCCGGCGCTGGTCATATTACGAGAGAAGTGTCAAGAGGATGGAATCAGAGCGAAAGGGTGGATTGTCCACGTTGAAAACATTATTTTTGTGTTTTGGAACTAAAATATTTGACATAAATGATTTGGTTAGCAGTACCATATTTTTTACTTGTGTTAAATAGAGTGTATTAGTGAGAAAACATAATACATAAAATTGTTTGGTTGTAATTGTCAAATATTTGGTTAATCCCATGTTAACCAAATTTTAGTCCGATGTATCGAAATCGACCATAAAATCCAGTGCAGGTTTCGTGTAGCCTATTTTCCACATAGCTTTAGAAAGCAACTGCCTATTTTCCACATAGCCTCAGAAAGCAACTGCCAAATTAGTCGGTCAAAGGATTTAGAAGTGTATAAGAAACTTACAGACCGTAAAAAAATTAGATAGAAGACTTCATAGTATTCCTGTATTTAATAAAAAAAGTTAAAAAAAACAAAAACTCTATAAAGTTTTTAATTTAATTTATAGTTTTATCATATTAGTTTAAATACATTCTATTTTAAAGTTGAAATGTTTATAACTTTTGGTAGAAGCATTTTTCAAAAAAATATTTTAGATAAAGTTTAGAGTTTTTAGAATTTTTTGGATTGTCATACTTTATGTGGGCCACTTTGTATATATAAAATAGAATGTCTGTCTGTCTGTAAGTTTCCTTATATACTCCTAAATCTTTTGGACCAAAATCGTGCATCATTTATAAGGCATGTCCTGTAGTGTAATCTATATACGTATACATATCTTATAAATGATGCGCGATTATCACAATTAATTATCTTATATGCGCTGACCGCACGATATAGCAGATAATTTTCTTAATAACACACGTTGATTTACGACAGGGATTCCCATTTGCCGAGCTTTCGTTGCGAGAGCTCGTCTTGCGCAGCTAGTTACGATAATTATCGGCGATCCGGTCGGTGCAACATCGCGCCGACTATCGTCTCATCTTCTTTAATCTCGACATATATCGGGTTGCATATTGCGCAGCCGGTGTACGGAGCTGTCGCGGTATCGAACATATGTATGACAAATTCTGACGTTTACACGGCCGCTAGAGCGAGTGGACGACACGTTTTCAACATTCCGCGATTGTTAGCGTCGGTCGCAGGCTGAATGGTTCTAACACATTTTCGCGAATTGTAAACGGCGACGACGACGTTTCCCGCGCGCTATCGTTGTTTATTATTTTCCTTTCCGCTTCCGTCCAAGTCGCGCACGCAGGTAGAAGTTTGATTGCATTAACGTGAAGTTTGTGGTTCTAACGAGCGAAGCAACGCATTTCAGTCGAAGAACACAGAATTTCTGGGGTTCTTATAATAACCCAAATTGACTTCTAAGAGTCAGATATTCCGCGTCCCTCAACTAGAATGCGATGGTTCGCGTTCATTACGACTAAACGTTCAATCCAATTTTTTCCTCCGTGTGATCACGATTCACGA